ATATATATATGAAAATGACTATGATAAAACTGACCTAGCCTTTTCCTCAGGCTTGGGCTTTTCCCTAAATTGACAATTAAAACTCTTAAATAGCTTATATCTTTTTTCACGATCCAATTAAATTCATTTATTAGTACAAACAAATTCATTCCTGAGGTGACTTTGTATATGATTATCTTTTCTCCTGCATATATAACAGACAAGAAAATCTAACATGTTTGCTAATTAATGTGTATCCATGAAAATAATTTCTATTCTTTCATGGGTGATTAAAGTAGTTAGGATGTAACTGAGAAAAAGCCTAAATAAAGCCTCTAGCTCCACATGATTCTGCTTGACTTTACAAATCTCAAACCAGGCATGGCAGTGCACATATATAATCCCAGCATGCAGGAGGGTGAGACAGGAAGATTCCAAGTTGTCAGTTAGGACTACCTAGCAGAAGAAGACCCTGCCTCAAGGCAAAACAAAAAAATCCTAATTTTACATATCATGCAGCTGAGTAACACATTATTAGTCTCCCATTAGCTTTGCCATAGAGGACACCTCTGATTGAAGCTGCCTGGTGGGTTAAAATTGTTCCCTGGCTAAAGTTGCCTTTTGCTTTTCTTCTGCTGTATCTTATTGACTAACTAGAGGTTTAGCTAGTCCTAAAACCAGAAACTTTCTAATCAGTAACTTTTCTTTAGAGTTAGAGAACCTACAGCAGCAGGTGTATCAGAAAAGCAAACCACCCAGCACCTTATAGCCTGATCTGAGATTAAAATATAACTCCCCAAATTCCTATACCAGCTTTACACCTAAGGAGTTTTCAGGACAGAAATTCCTATCTTACAACTTGCTACCAATAAATCAATCTCTCTCTCTCTCTCTCTCTCTCTCTCTCTCTCTCTTACTGCTTCATAGAGCGGCAGCAAAACAAGAGCTTTTGCAGTTACAAGGACACTGGAGGTCCAGTTTGGGTTTTCAACAACTACCAAGTGTCAGAGCTTGAGGAAATAACCCCAGGTTCCTTACCTATAAATGTACATGTTTTCTATCATTTGGGAGTATTTATGTATAGAATATGCTTGATTAGATAATATATGAACTATTAAAACTAAACTATCACAACTAGGAGAATTCCAGAAGTAAAGCTATTGTTTTCTATCTAGATGTCCCCCAAGAGTCCCAGGCAGGGCTTCTAGAGGTTACTGAATCATTGGAGACCACACTGACTTGCTGTCAAGAGGCAGGGCCCAGTTAAAAGGGACAGTCACTGAGGATGAGACTAGAAGGTGACTCTTCTTCCCTGACTCTCCTCCTCAGCCTCCATCCTTGTGCTGGCCAACTATGGGCTAAAACTGTGAGTCAAAATAAACCTCTCCTCTTTTAAGTCATGGGTGTTGGATATTTTGTCCTAGCAATGAGGAGGTGACCACCACAAGAACTATTTATTCACATATGTATTTGGCCAAACTGATCCTAAGCAACTCTCTGATGATCACATAATGCTTTCATCATAATGGTCACTCACAAATTTGAACTGTGATGCTGAGCCTACAGATGAGAATAGCCGATGCGCTTTGGGGGAAAATTAGAAAATACTTTTTTGAACAATTCAATCTGTTTTAACAGCTGTACCGAGATACAGCTCACATGCCATACAAGTCACTCATTAAAAGTGTACAGTTCCTTGATTTTTTAGGTATTCACAGGGTTGTACACCCCTCCCCATTATCTGACTGTTTTTAGCAGGGCATCAGTGTGACAATAACCACCGTGTGGTCACCACACTCTCCTCAGCAGCGGTCATCTTTCATGTGAATGCAGAGGTGTTTGTTCATCTGGGTCCTGTTAGGCTCACACCTATCATGTCTACCTTCTTTTTCTCAACTGAGTTTTTAAGTACACAACTTGGCTTTTAATTTAAAAAATTCAAAATAATCACAGTCTACCCTTTTGACAGAATATAGATATCAACTTATATTTTAGCAGAGGGCTGGCTGAAAAATCTCAAAGGAAGTACAGGCTGTTCCTCTGGAATTTCCAAGATGACAAAGTGGTTTTATGCTCAAGTCTGATTTTTAACAGCTACAGGATGCTGGCATCCAGAATGCCAGGTTGGTCAGCAATGCCTGTAAGAGCAACTTATGGGGGCAGGCATACATGCTCTCCTGGCTGAGGCCCTTGGATATTGATTTTAACTGGATCCAAGGTGACATCACAGAGCCAGCTGCTCTGACTGCATTGGTGTAGCATTCATTTACATCCCCTTTACTGAATTTCACTTTCATGCATTGGCCTTTTCATGAATGGAAGAGTAATTTATATCAGAAAACCACTTTATTACTAACATGATTAAGGGTGTTGTCACCTTTACCTTCTCCCAAAGAAGAACTTTCTCTTAAGTCTAAAAGCCAGAAAATGCTTTACTTACTCTTCCTGAACATCTGGTTTCCATTTATTCTGTAAATAATGTGACTCTTACAGCCTTCCCCTTTTCTTTTCTCTTTTCTTTTTCTGTCTCTGTCTTTCTCTCTCTCTTTAGACTTTAGAAATCTCCTATCTTAGAGGTGACTAAGAAGCCCACCTAGAACCACAAATTTTTAAATTAATTTGGTGACATTAATCTTTGTTTTTCTACTCACCCTAATCTTGTAATTATAGCCAAAGTTTTTTTATGTTCAATATGTGTTCCCTTTTGGCTATGGCAGACTGTAAATAAACCAAGCAGCAGATGGAAGGTAAGGAGGTAGCTAAATAGCTAGACAGAAAGATGGCTCAATATAAAAAGAATTTGACAGAAAGATATACAGCTACTGGCAAGATAAAGAGGTTATTAATTAAGATGCAGTTTGTAGCAGGTTTAAAGGGCATATTTTAAAACAAACTTTAGGTTTCACATTTATTTTATAGGGCTATCAAGTTCATAAAATACTTATTTTCCTATTACCGTTTATCATTTGTCTTCCTCATTTTATGAGTACTAATTTTGATCCAATTATTGTAATTGATTCTCTTTGATATAGTGATTTCAAAAAAATACCTCACAGATGGGAGGACTCCAACAGAAGACAATCTTCTGCCACCCTCCCCAAAGAAAAGAAAAGAAAAAAAAACAAACCTTAGAATACAGCTCTCGATGAGAAGAAATAGTGTAAACTTTTGTAAAGGAAATACTGTATGCTTGTATTAGGATTTACCTGTAATTAAGTACAAACCAGGAGACCATATTCCCTCTAGGTAAAAAGATTCCAGGAGAGGTACAGGGAGCAAACCTTCAAACCTAGGGAGCATAGGGAGCCTCAGGGCTGGGGCAGAGGGAACTGCTCAGCAGCTGCACCTGCCCAGCTCCACACCACCCAGAGCACAGCTGGTCACGGAAGTAACATTAGAAAGTGGCCTCTTGCTCAAGTTCCCCATTATTTCATCTGATCACACCTGCATGTGTTTTACGAGAAGGATGCAGTTAGTGTGAGCTGTTAGAGAAACACATGAGCTTCCATTACCAAAGTAGGTGTCAAATCCTCGGCGGGTGGGAAGGCATTCTTTCCGGTACATCCCCAGGTGCCACTTCCCAACCATGTGGGTAGCATAGCCTGCTTCCTGTAGGAGCTGGGGCAGGAGCTTCTCATCCAGAGGAACACAGCTGGGCTGACAGGGCCAGATTATCTGATGCTGTAGACCTGTGTGGATCTTTAAAGAGAGAAACCCAAAACTATGCATGAATGACTCTGAGACACTGTCAATAAGTACATCAAGGGGCTGCCTGATTTCCTGGACACATCTGTTGATTTGGATGTTTAACTTGTTCCCATATTAGTTCAAGGATATTTCCTCACTCAAGTAGAGTAATAAGCACAAACAGGATTTGAAAAGATGAACAGAAGCATGCCAACAAACGAGGTATTTTCAACAAACGTTTATTAAGGCACCAAGTCAGAAACCATTAACTTTGCACTATCTAAAGAAAAAAGTAGCAATTACATAAAGTGTGCATATTTCAAGGAAATCCCTGTGCACACCAGTTGGTATTTGATTAGAATGGCAATCTTCGAAGATGCCGTGGTTTTTTTTTGTTGTTAAATGTTATTTAACAACATGATGAAACCCTACAACATGTTTCTTATTCTGCTTTGCATAAAGCATAATCTCAAATGACAATGATATATAACTCAATGTATGTTGCTTGGGCCCTCAATACTTTTTAAGCAAATGCAGAGATCCTGAGGCCAAAAAGTTTGAGAACTGCTCCTCTCTATACTGCAGTACAGTGACACAGTGACACCTGAGATAAGAACGCTCCTCTGAGGACAAGATGCTTAAGAAGTCAGGTGAGCGAAGATGAGAATGAGCCTCAGAGGACCTGTGGTAAGACCAATCCAGGCATAAGGAATGAAAACTGCCAAGACCATGAGGCTCAAACTTGCATGGTATCCAGCAGAGAAGGGACCAGCAGAAAAGTCGGTGCAGCCCCGCTATAGGTCTTGGGGTGACAGATGCTTCTGCCCCCCAACAGGGTGTCCCTGCTGGGCTGCTTCCTGGTGGGCCAGGTCTTCTTCCCCTCAGACTTGACACCTGCCACCTCCTGGTCCTAGCTGAGGAGAAATGGCCCCAGACGCCAGCTCCCCACCACTGGAGCTCCTAGCTTCCAGGACACAGAATGCTGGAACTGCCAGTTGACTGCTAGCAAGGCTCTGGTGTCCACAGCTGCTGACAAGGGGCAGCAAGCAATCTGCTATGAATATATGGTTAATAATGTGTTTGTGAGTGACTTGCTTGTTGTATAACTTAAAGTAAATAATATAAGGCTCAGGGAATTACATCTTATCCTGACTCTATCACTTACTAGCTTTATAACATTAGGCAGTAACTGCAGTAACTTACTTCAGTAAATTAGTACTGTAATTAGGCTCAAGCTCCGTATCTGTAAAAGAAGGTATCATCTTCCTCTTGGAGTTCTTGGGAGGACTAAGAAGATAACAAAAAAACGCAAAGAATACAATACACACTTAACAGCATCATGATAGCAACTGTAAGCACTGTTATTCACACATCTCTCCCTCCTGCCAACACCTTGGCACGTACTATGGTGGAGATACCCATCACATAAAATGCACACCTAACTATATTTGACAATAAGCAGATAACAAGTGAACTCCCCCAAAACCATCAAATTGATGATCTTTGTTGTTTATTACAAGCAACAATTAGCTTTCTGACAAGCTTTGACAATGTCTTGGATTTGTGTGTGTGTGTGTGTGTGTGTGTGTGTGTGTCTTTCCAGAGCTAAAAACTTTTATAATCATACCTATTATGGCTTGATTTCATGATATCTTTCCACATAGTCCTAAAGGAACCACATGGAATACCTTAAATGTTAATAAAGTAGGTTTATTTTGAGAGTGATGTCATTATCTTGATGATGGCGTGATGGTTTCACAGGTACATATACACATCAAAACTTATCAAATTGTACATTGTACATTTAAGTATATTTAAGTGTGTGTGTCATTTATTGTAGGTAGACCACATATCAATACAGCTGTTTAAAAATAAACATAAATTTCAGCTTTTCTATTGAGATTTTATACCTTTCTCAACAAAAATTGGGCACCTACACTGGGATGCATGCCAGGTGCCTTCTATTTGCACTGCAATCCACTCTGTCATCCTGACCTTGCCCTGGGAGACCCCCATGAGGTTTAGACCAGAGGATTAGTGTGCCTCAGGCTTTTCATGGGGTCAGAGCCTATGGAGAGCCCTGGCTGGAAGGGAGGGGACAGAAGAAAGGTTCAGCCTGGCCACCTTTGTCTCTCTACCAAAGGCTAATCTGAAGGCAACTTTTTCTACAAGTCCCTTCATAGGTTCTGGTAACTGTCTACCCCTTTTTTCCTCCCCTTTGGTCTAGTATCAGCCCCACTGGGTCACCACACAGCTCCTGTGTTTCCCCACATATTCATACCTTTAAAATGAATCCTTTGTCAATAAACCCTCTCTAAATTATCCTAACTTGAATATACCATTTCTTTCCTGGGACTCTAAATAATAAAGAGGTTATAATACCAGGAAAGAAAAATGTTGCTTTCAACATACAAATATATATATTCTTGACCCCTCTCCGCCTTCACTTTCCCCCTTCTCCCTCTCCCCAATGATTCTTTCCATCATTAGTACTATAAGTTTAATCAGCAGAAAATTGATCCCTGGCTCAAAACTTCCTCACATGTACTAACTGGCAAGCAAGAAGGATATGTAAAGATAGGTTTTATGGAACCCAAAACGGCCAGTGGAGATAAGTCCTAGATGCAGATATCCTTAAATGAAACACTCATCCATCGCATGCAGAGCATTAACTCTGATCACTAGAAAGCAATGCCAAGAGATGCTCCACAATTCCGCTTCCCAAGCCCTGGGCACTATGCCAGGTGGTCAACTGAAGCTGCCTCCATTATCTACAATCATATGGAGCAGGGAATTTGTTCTTTTCAGTTTCTGAGAATTTATTTGACAGAGCATTTTTATGGCATTATTGGGAAGCAGAAGCCAAACTCTGGATGACAGCCAAAAATATATTTTGGTCTGTTCAAACACTATCTGAAGTAAGGAGGCTGTAATGTGTTGGGAGGCAGTAAACAGGCAAATGTCAAGCTGGTTTCAATCCAGCACTTCAGCTTAGCACAAACTATGCAGCCACCCTGTGCTTCATGGGCAGGATGATAACAGGCCACCAAGAAGAAACGAAAGGAAAAAACAAAGGTGCTCTGTGAATACAGTAGAACCTAAACTCTTCAATTCTACCACCTGTCTCCATAACCAGAGTTCAGGTATAAGTGGAGAATGTCCTGTATATGAAATTCCACGTGGGCACCTCCCTCTACCTTATGTAGCCGCCTCTCTCCTTCACTAAGTCCTCTTTCACAAACAGCTCTTTGCCCATCAAGGATTCACCCCACACAGGCTAAGGGTCTGCAAACCCAGGGAGGACCTGGCCTGTTTCCAGGCTGGTTCCACAAGTGAACTAATGCAAATTCCTTGGGCTGATGTGGACCATAGTATTTTATTTGGTCCCATCACTTTTTCTGTGCTCTGGGACCTAGGAGATCCTTGCAGGATAGTATTATAAGCCTAAAAGAGAAAACTGGTATCTTGCAGGAGGAGAAGAGGACAGCAGCTACCATCTTTCAATTCCCTAAGTTCCAGGCAATCCTCAGGTTATCTCTTTGGAAGCTCAGAGCACAATATTTCAGCCACCCTCATTCGAAAAGGCAAGGGCTGTGTGTGCCATACACAGGGGAATAACACCCAGTATATGCTAACACCCAGGTGAGCAAAGGGAGGCTCCACCCAGTCCATCTGACTTGTGCGAGATGAGCTCAGGTCCTCACTGTGCCTTTATATTTATGCATCACACACTACCTGCAACAGTACTTCAAATTCAGAAAAACAGGTAGTGCTGCCTCTCTACTGCACACAGCAGAGAGCCGGGACAGAGGCTTCATGACTGGAGCACAATCACACACATGCTGGTGGCCGTTCATGAGGTGAGAATTTCCAGGTTGTAACCACAGTCAAGTGCCACTTGTGCCGCATCAGAGTTTATTCCTAGAGATGCCTGCAGAACAAATGAGTCCTGGAAAATCTGCTTCCTCCCCCTACAGCCTTCAAACAAGTGTTAGCTGCCCATGCTGCTAAAGCCAAGAGCTACAGCACACACATTATGTGTGCTAGGAGCCCAGCTTGGCCATCTGGCCTGGCCCCTTGTACTGGGCTGCAGAACTGGCCCGTGTCACTGACAGTTTTAGGGTCTATTTATTTTGCTGTTGATTAATAATAAACAGTGCAAATCTCTGACTAAACCTACAAAGGGATGTTTGTAAAAAGAATAAACAAGGCAGAAATGGTTTTGATTTCTATTATAAAGCCAACAAGAATTTATAATGAAATAGAAGGAAAACAGGAAGAAAGCTGAAGACAAAGAATTTTAGTAAGGTAATATGATCAAAGTAACAAAAATAGCCAGGTATGATGGTATAGGCCTGTAATCCTAGAACTCTAGGAGGCTGAGGCAGGAGGAGTCCAAGTTTGGCACATCCTGGGCAACTGTGACTTAACAAGATTCTGTTACAAAATGTAAATTAAAATAAAATAGAGCTGGGGATGTAGCTTAGTACACAGGCTCTAGGTTCAACCCTTAGTAGACCCCCTCCAAACACGCATGGAAACAAAATGATGACTACAGAATAACAGCTTTTACATCAAAGTGATTCCTGAAATAACAAACCTAATAAATTAATCAACAAAAATATTCCTTAAATCAATGGTCATCTTCCCCTCAGCCCAAACTTATTTCCTTAATTCTTCATTTCCAATGCCCTAGGAGGTACAATATACAAAAACATAGAAATATTTCTTTACAGTATCTTTGATATTGTACAATAAGATCTCCAGACTCCCTTTTCCTTCTGAGAAAATGTGTCTTGGCTATGGGGAGGCTGAGGCAGCCTGGCTTAGCAAATCAAAAGATGCATCAGAGAAAGTCACCAACAGGAGTCCTGACATGTTTCAGTGGGGTCACCCCACTGGTCACTAAAGCTAATGCACCTGTTTTTCCTCCTACATGAGCACAGCACTGACAAGTGCTTTCTGTTTAGCAGCTCTGTTGGCCTCTGGGCCACAGGCTGCTGGGATCTCTCCCTCCTTGGATGCCTTTGCCAGAGGGTCCTGAGAATCCTCCCCACTAGCAACTTCTCTCCTCCCCCAAACCCTGAACCTATTTCTTCCTATCCTCACTCCTCTTTGCCCCACTTCTAACTAAAGGGTCCAGGAGACAGACGAAAGACTGGAATCCACAGACAGGCAAGCTGGGGAGAGAGGGCTGGCGGGCACTGAGGGCGCCAAGGAGAAGCCCAGCCTCTCTCCTATTTCCTGTCCAAGGTTTTACTTCAGAGGGGAGTGAAAAGCCAGGTGTTGCCCATTTATCAATGCGATTTAGAAAAATGTGGCTTGGGCCCCTGAAGGCCGAGGCCTTGGGGACAGCTTTCACGTCTCCTCCTGCCAAGGTTTGTGGAGCTCTGGTGGAGCAGTCCCTCGGCCCCCAGGGAAGAACAGGGGAGGCCCAGAGTTACCTACCTTTCCCTAGCTCCTCCAAGGCCCCCTCTTTATTTATTTTCTAATCTTCTTGATTTCTTAAAAAGGAAGCAAGGGGGCTAGATGTGGATGCCAATTCTAGTGGTTTAATCAGTGCAGAAACACTCCTGCTGGAGTGTGCAGCCTCTTGCACCGCTCAGCCTTCAACACCATGGTCCTCTGGGCAGAGTCAGGCAGCGAGGCCTAATGCAGGAACCAGGCCTCAGAAAAGACAAAACTACTGCAGTGTGCACTGGGAATGCAGATGTATAATGAATCTTTCATGTTGAATAAAGTCAATTTATCAGACTATGAATATTTAATATGTTCAAATGCCCTATTTGAACAAAAAGCAGTATACAAGTTCTATTAGAAAAACAATAGGATTTTTAAATCAGTATTTTTCACGTAGGGCCGGGGATTTAGCTCAGTGGTTTGGTGGCCTGCAAGGACCCTAGTTCAATCCCCGGTATCAAAAAAATATATATATTTTTTTCATGTTGAGATTACTGAGCAAGGGGAAATAAACACAAAATCTATTTCCTCACATGTACAGAAAGTCTCCAAGGCACACTAAGAAATTAACAAATGGGTGTTCTACTGAAGATAGAACGAAAAGATATTTTTTATATTTAAAGATTTTGAGTGCATTTTCTAGAGGCCATCTGAAAAGTAAGAATACCACAAGCACTTGATAGTGGTTCCTCAAATTACAAGTTCTAATTTAGAACTTGTTAGATTAGACGCGTTCTTCAGTGCATCCTATGAAAACAGGAAGAAGGACAGCTGACTGCAATGATCACCATGAGCAGGTAGCAGGAGGTCCAGGGAGACCCAGCCTCCCTCTTGGAACTCGCAGCACATTTCTTCTACCCTCATTCACTCAACTCCAGCCTCCATCGTTTTCTCCCCATCCTTAGAACACGCTGGTTCCAGTCTGAGAGCCCTTGCTGTTTCTCCTCTTATTAAACTCTCCTCCCAGAGCCCTAAGCTCCCCTCATTCAGGCCTCTGCAGTGTCCAGCATGGGACGTGCATCAGAGTTGGGATCATGGAGGGAAGGCAGGAAACTCACACCGCTGACAGGGAAGGGAACCACGCTTCATCTCCATCGCAAGCCTTGGTCACGGGTGTTTCTCAATCTCAGCAAAATTCTGTCTTTCCTCTCTATCAACTCTTCAGACAGGAGGCTGAAGTTGATTTGAAAGACTAAACACATACCAAGGGAGGCAGGTTTCAAGGGTATCCCTGACTGGCACAGTAAGCTTCAAATGTTTACAGAACAGTATATACACATACACACAGAGAGACACACAGAGAGAATATCAACAGTATCAGCATAAATGATTGTATTTAATAAGGTCATAATCGGAGCAGCATCTTATAAACCGGGCAATCTTACTAAGATTGAGGGAAGAGTCCAATTTAATAAGCCTGATATACTTAGTGGATACACGAAAAGCACAGGGATCAGCATTAAGACTTTCTAGGCGCGATTCTTCATGTCATCCTGTTTGCCCAAGCTATTCCTCACCAATGAAGAAATCAAAGATAATCACAGCACTATGGAGGCTGATGCAAGACTGCAAATTCGAGGCCAGCCTGGGCAACTCAGCAAGAGGTCTCAAGATTTTTAAAAATGTTAAAGGAGGTAGGGGGTCCTGGAGATATGGCTCAGTGGTAGAAGACCTATGGGTTCAAGTCCCAGTAACGGATTTTTTTGTTTGGTTTGGTTTTGATTTTTTGAGACAGGGTCTCGCTATGTAGTTCAGACTTACCTTAAACTCACTACATAGCCAAGCCTGCCCTCGAACTCAGCAGCAATCCTTCTGTCTCAGCCTCCTGAGTGCTAGGATTATAGGCCACCACGCCTGGCCAAGTCCAGGTTAAAACAAAACAAAACAAAACAAATTTAGGGAGCTATTTTGGTCATTCCTAGTCATCTAAATATGCGCACTCTCAACTGCGCATTTCCTCTCCTAGTAACAGCGAGGTGTGCTGTTAAAGGGAAGTGTTTAAAGCGATCATGAAGATGTTAGAGGGTGTCAGCACGAGCTCAACTCTGACAGGAAGTCAGCCTGGCGGATTCCAGCGGCGACCCGAACTGACCCACCTCGCCACGCCTCGATTCCTAGTGCCCGGTCCCCGACCCCGCCTCACCCCTCCTTCTGCGCCTGCGCACCCCGCGCCCAGCGCAGCCGCGAGAGAACGAAAGACCGGGCCACGCGTGCGCAGAGACAGGCGAGCGCGCACCTGATAGCGACCAGTGAGTAGCTGACTCCGCGACGGCGTGCACAGCGGCTGCGTGTAGTAGTTTTCCAGCTGCACCCCACCTGCCGCCAGCGCGTCCAGGTGCGGCGTGCGGAGGAGCGAGCCGTGGAAGCCCACGTCGTTCCAGCCCAGGTCGTCTGCTAACACGAAGACCAGGTGCGGAGGCCGGCCCAGCCCGGCGCCCGAGCACAGCGGCACGAGCAACAG